AGGTTCAAATAACCAGGGGCAAAGCCACTCAAACCTTTGCCCCCACTCAATTTCATTTTGAAACAAAATTTTTCATATAAATTTATGTATAGTAAAGATTTGCTCTCACAAAAGCACTCAATTCATTTAAATTTATTTCATTATTTCTCACATTTATAATAGATTTCTTTACTCTAAATAAAGCGAACTTAAATAAATTTTTTATTTATTTCAACTCCTCAACATATATTTAAGAAATTATTCTGAATCTCGTGATTCTCGCTCCTTATATATAGTCATTTTGCCAATTGAATGGTAGCAATGCAGTAAGTCTCTAAATTAGATCTCTGAATTAAGTACATATAATAATTTTATTACTAAAATATACCCCCACTACAACAAATTTCTGTTTCCACCCCCAGCAAATAGCATTGTTTTTTATTTAATTAGAGTGCTAAAAAAATTGCTCACTTGCTGGTTCTTGCCCTTTTCTGTAGCTTCTTACCCGGACTTATTGCGTGTGCCTTTTCAATGTTGTCTTGGTTGCTTGCTGTAATCCTTGCTCTTAAACCTTTTAACCCGAAGAATTACCACTACTACATTTTCCTGCGTGATTTGGTACGTCGATTTTATTACGTCAATAGTTTAGAGAGTTTTTATTTTTGGCTACAGAACTTGCACAAATTAGTCTCTCGAGTTTAGCGTCTACTCACCGTAGTTTGAATTAAGTTAAAATATGTCCCTAAAGAGACAAGGGTGACTAGCACTTAAAAGTGTGAGAAGGATTGCATAGACTATTCTTTTTAATTCAACATCTAGTCTCCGTAACTTGAGTTAGGTTAGAATATGTCTCTAAAAAGACAAGAGTGACTAGCCCTTAGGAGTGTGAAGAAGGATTGAACCTGAGACCTCTAAGTTATCAAATACCAGACTCAATCACTAAACCACCCTAATGGTGTGTTTGTTAGGGTGGATGAAAAAATAAAAAGTGACAGTAATAAACTTTTTATCTTGTAATGGAAAAATCTTCTTCCTTTATGTTTAATAGGAGGGATAGAAAGTAGGAAACATTTGTTTTTGGGTAAAATGCAAAATTTCTCCCTGTACTAAGCCTTGATTTCATTTCACCTCATCTATTATTACGTGTTTCATTTAACTCCTTCAATTTGTGAACAAACAACAAATCTGATAGAATTTGTTTATTCTAACAGCATAGTAATTGCATATGCTAATTAAGCTCGTGTTATAAAATAAATAATTTTTTTTCTTAAATTANAACTCCTTCAATTTGTGAACAAACAACAAATCTGATAGAATTTGTTTATTCTAACAGAATAGTAATTGCATATGCTAATTAAGCTCGTGTTATAAATAAATAATTTTTTTTCTTAAATTATAATTTTACCTTTCATCTTCTTCTCTCTCTAGACCTGTAAATTCGTTTTTGACACATCATACGACTTGTTTTCTCAAATTTAAAGTCATTTTTAAACTTTTTGACCCCAAATTAGCTAAACTCAACCTTTTTCTTGAAATTTTTACAAGTTTTCTAAGTTTTGATTTTCAAGTTTTAAAATCCTAACAAATTTCTTCACCTCACACACCCTTCGACCATGGCTTTCAAGCATTTCAATACACTGAACTATAACCCCATACTGCAACCCAAGCCTTGATTGAGGAAGAAAATNGTAAATTCGTTTTTGACACATCATACGACTTGTTTTCTCAAATTTAAAGTCATTTTTGAATTTTTTGACCCCAAATTAGCTAAACTCAACATTTTTTTTGAAATTTTTACAAGTTTTCTAAGTTTTGATTTTTAAGTTTTAAAATCCTAACGAATTTCTTTACCTCACACACCCTTCGACCATGGCTTTCAAGCATTTCAATACACTGGACTATAACCCCATAATGCAACCCAAGCCTCAATTGAGGAAGAAAAGGTCATTTACTATGTGACCCATTAAAAAATTCAATTATCACTTTTAAACTTCAAACACAAATTGGAGCACACACGCAACATATTAAATCTAATCACACCAATGAAATTCTCATGGAAAAATAAGTCTAATCAAGTCATTTGCTAGTTGTAGGTTTTGTTTTTTAAAGATTCGGGTTCTACAAATATGGCATCACAAAGAAAATTCGATTGAAATCGGGGGGTAGTTTAGTCTTTTATATAACTGTTATCTCTGTTAAGATTTATAGTTTATTCATAAGTTAGAAGGGTTAAGTGAAATCGAGGCTTATTACAGGAGAAGTGAAATCGAGGCTTATTATAGGAGGGTTTTTTGCATTTTACTCTTTACTTTTTTTGTGTTTGGAAGAATGAAAAAGTAGCGAAGGAAAAAGTATAGATACATATTTTACAATTATATCTATATATAAAATTAATGTATACATAATATGTAATTGATAAATATGTATATATCAAAGGGTATATAAATAAATAACATATATTTTAACAAAAATAATTAACTTTTCATTATTTTTTATTTTCAATTTTAGAGGGATTGATTTTGATGAATTGACAAGAAGACCAATCCACCTACTTTTTTATATTTCATATTTTTCTTTTCTTACCAAATATGATATTTTATCTATTCTTCTAATATTCTCTCCTTCCAACTTTCCATCATATTTTTCTATCTATTATACCAAACAAAACATAAGGGTTAGTTTAGAGTAAGAATCAAAATTTTGTTTTGGTGTATTGTTTCGATAGTATAGAAAATTAAAACGTTTTAATGTGTTTCAAAAACGCTTCAACCCGTTTTGAAAATAAAATAAAATAAAATAATAAAAATTATTTTTTCATAATATTGGTCAAAATATATCAAAATACCTTAAAATATTTTGAAATATACTGAAAAAATTATATAAATGTATTGAAATATTATAAAATACCTTGAAGTATTAAAATTTTGATTTTATCATTAATTCGTTTCGATATTATTGACGACGNGGAAAAATAAGTCTAATCAAGTCATTTGCTAGTTGTAGGTTTTGTTTTTTAAAGATTAGGGTTCTACAAATATGGCATCACAAAGAAAATTCGATTGAAATCGGGGGATAGTTTAGTCTTTTATATAACTGTTATCTCTGTTAAGATTTATAGTTTATTCATAAGTTAGAGAGGTTAAGTGAAATCGAGGCTTATTACAGGAGAAGTGAAATTGAGGCTTATTATAGGAGGGTTTTTTGCATTTAACTCTTTACTTTTTTTGTGTTTGGAAGAATGAAAAAGTAGTGAAGGAAAAAGTATAGATACATATTTTACAATTATATCTATATATAAAATTAGTGTATACATAATATGTAATTGATAAATATGATATATATGTATATATCAAAGGATATATAAATAAATAACATATATTTTAACAAAAATAATTAACTTTTCATTGATTTTTATTTTCAATTTTAGAGGGATTGATTTTGATGAATTGACAAGAAGGCCAATCCACCTACTTTTTTATATTTCATATTTTTCTTTTTTTACCAAATGTGATATTTTATCTATTCTTCCAATATTCTCTCCTTCCATCTTTCCATCATATTTTTCTATCTATTGTACCAAACAAAACATAAGGGTTAGTTTAGAGTAAGAATCAAAATTTTGTTTCGATGTATTGTTTCGATTGTATAGAAAATTAAAACGTTTTAATGTGTTTCAAAAACGCTTCAACCCGTTTCGAAAATAAAATAAAATAAAATAATAAAAATTATTTTTTCATAATATTGGTCAAAATATATCAAAAATCTTAAAATACTTTGAAATATATTGAAAAAATTATACAAATGTATTGAAATATTACAAAATACCTTGAAGTATTAAAATTTTAATTTTGTCATTAATTCGTTTCGATATTATTGACGACGAAAATTTTGATTTAAAAAGTTTTTGAATTCCAAGCAATAGTAATCATTTTTGTTGTCATATAATGTTTGTTTCAATAATATGAGTCCCAACTTTAACAGGTTATGATAGCGTTTCTGATTGCCGGATGCGCTGCGGCCACTGCAATAGGGTACGTGGGTCGGTATGGGAATAGCTATACTGGGTCGATGCCGATCACTTTACCAAATTCTGTGACACAGCNATGTTTGTTTCAATAATATGAGTCCCAACTTTAACAGGTTATGATAGCGTTTCTGATTGCCGGATGCGCTGCTGCGGCCACTGCAATAAGGTACGTGGGTCGGTATGGGAATAGCTATACTGGGTCGATGCCGATCACTTTACCAAATTCTGTGACACAGCGACTATTTCCGTTATGCCCTCCTACTCCTCTGTTATTTTTTACGTGTGTCTCGTGATCATTTCCGCCATTGAGTCCACACGAGTTCAATCTGAAGCTGTTGACCCAGATGAAGGAAAAAAAAAATTAACAGGAGCATGGAGATTTTTGGTGAGGGGTAGATTGAATTTGATGAAATGAGTATGTCCTAAACAAAGTAATTAATGACTGTGTTTTCAGTTGAAGGAAGAACAACTTTATGTCAATTTACATTTTCTCTTCACTTTTTCCCTTGTTGATTAGTGTTATGCTTTTTTTACCTCTCCATTTCCTTCTTATATTCTTTCACCATATGTGAATGGACAAATGGGAAAGAACTAGCAAAGAACTTAGAAAGGGGACTGATTTTCTGCCGTATCTTTGTTGGAAAAATCCCACATGATTTTTGGTCCAGACATATGGCATTGAAAAGAAAAAATCAAATAGACACGAGTTATGTACGTTAAACCCCATTTCTCCCATGTTTAAGCTGGTTTCAATGTGAGAAAATGACCAACAAAAATGCATAAAAAGCATGCTTCAACCACTAATGTTTGAATTAGGATCCGTCCGATAAACTTTTCTCAATTTCGCTCAGCAGTAATGATAGATCACTCCACTGTGTATTGATTGGGAATCACGTATATATAATAGATTTAACTTGAATATATAATGGATGGTATACTATTGACCGAAAGTTGAGAGAAACAGAGTTGCAGAGTGTGTGGATATCCCTGTTGNTTTCATTATTAATTTATTGGGTTTTGGTGAAAAAATAGAGAATTCAAATCCAGTTAGATCACCAAACCAGGATTACATTTTTGTAGACACAACTTTCACCATCAACTAGACTAATGGCATTTACTTTTCTATACCAAATTCTAACCACAACTATGAACAAACAAGGAAAACAAAATTACGGCTAACACAACTATGTACATACAGATCAATGAATCATCCCCATGTTCGATCCCTTTCCACATCCCATTTTTCACAACTCTTTCACTGCTATGGTTTGGCAAAAACACTCCATAGCTTGCCATGACCAACACTATCCAAGAGCTTTTTAGCACCTCCAACATCCATCTCAACAAGTTTCTGCAAGTACACACAAGCACCCGAAGCCACCATTTGTTTACGACATTTCTTCGAATGCACAAGCGAAGCCAATATCGAAACAATGTATTTCTTGTCCACATTATGTACCAAAGGGTCTAATAACTGAACTGCACTAACAATCCCCCTGTCTTCCTTCCTAAAAATCCTCCTATTCCCTGCATAAACCATAAGGTTTGACAATGCCTTAGCAGCCGCTTCTTTCTCTTCCACAGCCTTACCATTCAACATTCTAACCAAAGGAGCTATACAACCAATTTCACCCAACTCTTTTCTGGTTTTAGTACTAAACCCCAAATTATAAACCGTTTTAGCAGCAGCAATTCTCACACCCAAAACCCCACAGTTCAAAACCCCAATAATCCTACTCAAAACCCCACTCAAAACAACAACTTCAGCAACTAATTGACACTCAGTTAAATTCCTTATCATTTCAACCGGCACCTCCAAACTCCGGTCAATCGGAGCCGAGTCGCAAAAATTCTTCAAAATCTCAATCCCACCTTCCCTGGCCACCAGAACTTTCAAATTATCATCCCCTGAAACCAATTTACACAAGCAACCAATCGAATTCTCTTGCGCCAATACAGTCCCCGTACCCGAAAGCCCTAATAGTATAAAAATCGCATTTTCTTCAATGAAATTCTCTCTGATTTCTTCAAATACCGCCAAATTCCTCAAAACCCCAGCTGCAACAGCTTGTGAACTGGGTGTTCCGGATTGACAAATCTCTAATAGAGATGAAATTCCACCTCTGGAACCAATTGCTCTCGCGTTTTCCTTCGAATGGCTCAAAAGTTGGAGGGCAATACAAGATTTTTCTTTAGCAAATACACTTCCAGACTCTAATACTCGAAGCAGATTGTTAAGAAGCGTTAATCCCTCGGCGATTAACACATGTTTGCTCGAATCGACTGTTGAAACCCTAGCAATGGCTGTGACAGTTTTTTCCTTTATCTCTGAGGAAGAACTCGAATCCAGTAAGCGTACTAGCACCGGAACAATTCCCTGAGCCACAGCAATCAAAACATTCTTATCATCTTCCTTTAGTAATCCCAATAACGAGTCCAAAACCGAGTTCTTCGACTCTGTGGTACCAATTTGCAGCCGAGTTAGTAAGNTCCCTGAGCCACAGCAATCAAAACATTCTTATCATCTTCCTTTAGTAATCCCAATAATGAGTCCAACACCGAGTTCTTCGACTCTGTGGTACCAATTTGCAGCCGAGTTAGTAAGTTTCTCGACTCGGTTCGTACGGACTCTCTCTTCTTGGAAGTGGAGGTACTACTCAAAACGACAGCGTTTTCTTGGAGGATATTGCTTTTGATGAGGACCTGGAAGTCGTGAATGTGGTTGTCGAGTTTGGCAGAAATAGAGTCAATTTCGTTTTGGGTCTTGAGCTTGCCGTTTGGGGGAGTGGGGTTGTGGCAGGTTTCGGAGAGAGAGAGGGCATCGGATACAGTGGTGGAGAGGGAAGTGAGGAGGTCGAGAGATATAGGGTTGGTGGTGGGGTAGTCGGAGACGTCAAAGAGAAGGGTTTGGACAGAGGTGAGTTTGGTTTTGATGATTGCCCATTTGCCTTTGAAACTCTGCGTTTGAGGGATTGAGTCTATGAGGGATTGGAAAAGGTGGGGGCTCGTGAGGCGGATTTGCTGTTGCTTTTCTGGGTCTTTCATGTCAAGCTTTTTCCGGTAATGGCCTGTTACGGATTGAGAGAGAGAGAGAGACGGTCAAACAGGGTCGTTAGGGTTTAGAGAGAGAAGAATGGAGGCTTGTGATGATGAGAGGGTAACGACGAAGCTTGAATATGCAAAAATGGAATTGGGCGGCGTCACGCCTATATGCTGAATTAAGAGCGTGATATCACGCTCCAGTAAGGATTTGTCCTCTCTTTGAAGTTTTTAAATTAAAATTTAATTGAAAAAATGAATAAATCTCAATAATTGGGTGCGATTATACCAGTATTAAAACACTAGTCAAATGTCCTTGGGCAAAAAATAGAATTTGGATAGGTGACTATCATAAAAATTCTTCTCGTGTTACGTCTATTTTGATAAGAGAAAAAAGAAATCAAAAATCTATAAAAAGACCATCATAACGTAATTCATTGATAATATTTTTTAAGTTTTTATCTTTCCTTTTTATCTTCCTCATGCCTCATATTTTTTCAATTTTTATGTTTTAATTTGTTGTTTTCAATAAAAAAAAAGCATAAAAGGACTATCTCTCTCCCTCATACGGCATAAATATTATATCTTGTGTTATACATAGAGTATGTGTCATATTTGTTATTTATCATCTAATGAGATACTATTTTTCATATAAATTTTGACAAGTGTGCTCGATCAACTTAAAATATCTAATTAATTCGAGAATACATAACTTTATTTTGAAGAGTCGTACACCATAGAGACCCTAATCAAACATTTATGTGGATAACTTGAAGTGAGAAATTCAAATCAAACTTATCATTCTTTTTTTTTTTTTTTGTAAACTAAAAACTCTTAGTATTTGTTACTAAAGTTTTATTAGTTGTGTAATGAATATGAGAGTAGTTATACATGCATGTTTTAAATTCCTAACCTCCCTTTTAACTTTCATAAAACTACCCATTTTCGGTTCGTAATTTTAAATCACTTAACTCTTTTCTTAGGTGTTAAAAAAAAAAAATCTGCTCTTTGAATATTATTATCAAAACTATTGTGTTATATTTTTTATTTTTTTATTTTTTTGGCATTATCGTCAAGAGTGTTTAAATTAACTTACTCACACTTTAATTAATCCCTTTCTTCGGTCCAGTTAAAGACGTTTAGATCATTCACATCGAGACTAGATAATTCATAAATGATAAATCTTTCACAATTTGATCCTAAAAAAATTAAGTTTAAAACTTATAATATTTGAATTTACAACTCTTCTTTATCTGTACTAAGCTACCATTAGGTGGTTATTTATTTTTTTTTTTTTTTGTGACTTGAGAAAAATACCTTGGAAGAAACAATACAGCGTTGAAGGGCAATGATATCAACGCGCTCCAGGCGAAGGTAGGAGCAGTGTTAAAAAATGGACCCACGGGACCCAAACTTTCTAATAATACATGACAGTGACAGATAGACAATGATAGCTGGGCTTCCAGGCTTTTAAGTGGGGTCATGTTACAAGACTCACAGCTGTTAACACAAGTAATCGTAACAGCACTTAATCAAACGGTTCGATTTTAATAACTTTGCGGCCATGCGGGTGATCTTCCTCCTATTTCTTGGTTGTTGACGTAAAATGCTCGTTCTTATGAGTAACTATAATATTATATCTGTTTTCGTCAAACGACCAGCTTACTTCCAAAAAAAAAAAAATCTAACGACTTACGAGTAGGATGGCAATGTAGCGGAGAAAAAAAGATATTCGCCCAAATTTGTTTTGTTTTGATTGAAAATGCACTATATGTGTTGAACGGTGAATGTATATAGAAATAATTGTATAAATCTATACGAAAATGAAGGCGGGAATGAAATCCTAACTAAACATATTTATTGTAACTGTCAATTTAGAAATATGGTAATCAAATTAATAAGTGACATTGTTATGTGGTAATTTTATCAACTTTTTTTTGATTGTTTTTTTTCTATTTGTGCCCACTGATTGAAACTATTAGGAATTTTGATTGACTATGCTGTAAAAACAAATAAGAGACAGTAACATAATTTTGCATTTCATCGTGGTATAAATATTGTGAATGGAGGTTGATAAATTTCTCTAGTAGAGTGAACTAAAAAATATAGAGAATTATTGAATTAGCAAAATTTTAAATTTTTATCTTTTAACACTTATGGCTATAATATGAATTGTAATAATAAAAATTCTCCTAGGCAATTTCAAGTGTAGTGTTATCGTTTTCTTAATTCAATTTTATTTTCTTTTTTTTCCTTTCTCTCTAATAGTTCCGTTTCTCTTTTTGTGGTTCAATGACACTTTAAATAGAATACTATATTATTTTGAATTTTACATTTTGTTATCTACATTATGTTGTGTTAGATTATGTTAAATTATTTAGAATGTTGTTAGATTATTTAAAATTTTAAATTATGTTATCTGGGCTTGAACTTAGGCTTGGATTTGTGCTAGGACTTGGACTTGGATTTGGGCTTAGGCGGGTACGGGAGAAGTGGGGACAGAGATTAGAAATTTACCAATGGACGGGGGATGGAGATAAAAATTATACCCATTAACAGGGATAAACCGATGATAGACAAAATTTTTTTAAGCGAACACGGGGATAAAAACTATACTCTCTGCCCCCACTTCAGTCTACTGACATCCTTACTTACGAGTCACATTTTCCTTTTGTAAGGATGAAAATGCCCTTTTAATTTTGTGCAGTAACCTGGCAGTCTTTTTAGTATTCTACTTTAATTAGAAAACATTAATCTTAACCCGCAACCCAAAGACATGATAAAACAAAAGATTTTTATAAATGATCAAGAATTTAAAATTTTGATTTCACTATATCAAATAATAAATTTTTATTTCTTCGTTTTTGTTACTACATCATTTAAATTAATTTTTACCTTTTTTTATTTAAAATAATGCCCAAATTTTCTCAAAATGTATAAATCGACAAAATACTTTCAACACGTGTACACACTCGTGCATGGACAATGTATAAAATAAAAATTGTATTAAATTACAAATCAATCAAATGTTAAATAATTGAACATGTGATAGAATTGTATGATGTGATACTTTTAGGGAAAAAAATATATAGAGTATAAACTTTCAAACTCCTCCGTGTTTTATTATATAGATTTAAAATCTTCATTAAAAAATTATAAATTATTATTTATAAAATATTATGATCGATCTTAAATTACCTAAATAAGTTGTAACTTTTCTTTTATGATTTATAACTTTTTTTTATAAATTATAACTTAAATTTTAAAAATTATAATTTTTGTAATCGATTAATACACGTGTGTTGTTATTTTTGAGTCTTGTCATATTCATTTTAATATTCATAAAAAATATATTTAAATATTAATTATTATTTCAACCTATTTATTATATATATTTATTAATCATGATAATTTTAAAATTATATCATTTCGAATTTATTTATATTGATGGGTCAGATTAAATACATTTGTTTTAAGTTCGATAGTGTGACAATTACAAGTAAATTCCAGCGCGGGACCCTTTTGGCGGGAGCAGTTGAAAGGAGGGTTAAAGGAGGGAAAAGAAGTGGATACAGAAATTGAGAACGAAGGGCTTAAAAAGACACGAGATATTGGAAAGTTAAGGCAAAAAGCTACGCCAATCATTTTGCTGAATGGGTCCATGCAATGCAAAAGTCAACGCCAATATATACCTAGGATAAATTACAATAACCTCCCTTTTGGTTTCTCATATATTTGCTGCACCTTCTAATTTTTTTTAAAATTACATTGATATCCCTAGGGATATTAAAACATTTTGTAACAGTTCACTGTGTTCAGATGTTGATTAGGGATTTTGGGCCAGAGAGGTTAGGTTTAACTAGGCCATAAATAGTTCTTGTTTTTTGCTAGTTTTTATTTTTCAGTTAAAAATTTTAACAAAAAAAGTGAGGATAAGAAAAACAATTTTAAGCGTCTGTCATCTTGTGTGAGTCAACAAAATTGGCAGGAGGTTCAGTGTAAATAATAGAAACAATAAGGGAGGTTGAATTGGAGATTTTTTTCAATAGTTTGAGATAACGACCTTCAATTTGGTAGACCTGCAATAACTACAAAATTAGAAAAAGGGGATTAGGTGAACACCCGACTTATCCCCTATGAACCTTAAGTCAATCTAAGATCGAAGGCTAAAGCTCAATGTATCGAGTCTTTTTTGGTTCAATATTGCTTATTATTTTTGACTTTTCTGAGAAGTATTTATACCTGCATTTGTAATGAGTGTCAAAGACCTTAAGTTTCATCATAATAAAAAGCTCATCACTCTTACCCATGTGCAATGAGTATTTTTTTTACCTAGATTCACGTGTCATAAATGCTTGGGGGACAGGACAAGTCCTTAGTGCCACGCTGAGATCCTTCGACTGTCGCTAAGCACTTAAATACCTCTAAACGATGTCTAAAACCTACCCTCGAGTGTTCGGTGCTAGAGGAATAAGACCTTGGATCTTGTGTTCGGCGCCACAACCTTTAATGTTTGGCACTTATGATTGTCAATTTTGATCTTTGAGAATGCAACCCTTCATTAATAGTCTTGTCTCAATCACTTACATCACCATAAATATACAATCAAATTGTATTAAATACTGGTGTTAGGAGTTGTTCTCGACTTCTCCGAGCCATCCTTCCTTGGCTCCATCCCTCGGTGTCTCCTAGGCTCCACAACGGTTACATTTGCACACGTGTCGATTTGGGAGACTTCTAATCCGCCTCGAGTCCCTCCAGAGGTCATATTGAATAAATTGTAACAATAATTCTACAAAAAAGTGTTGATTTCATCCAATTTTATTAAACAATAATACTATCTATTCCTAATTCTAACAAGCTAATTGCCTTACAACTATAGAATTGATTGTTGATTTATTTAATGTTAGTTTAATGGTCCCACTGAATTAGATCTTCTCAAATTAAATTTTAATAACATTATTCATCACTATTCTTTCTCCTACACGTGAGGTATAATTATAGTACCCAAAATTCACTTTTGATTACTATATCTTCCCTTTTTATTTAATAAAAATGTGACACGAATAATTTAATTTAATTTTATTTTAGTAATATTTAATTTNTTAATGGTCCCACTGAATTAGATCTTCTCAAATTAAATTTTAATAACATTATTCATCACTATTCTTTCTCCTACACGTGAGGTATAATTATAGTACCCAAAATTCACTTTTGATTACTATATCTTCACTTTTTATTTAATAAAAATGTGACACGAATAATTTAATTTTATTTTATTTTAGTAATATTTAATAATTTATTATTTTTTCAATCAACAGATACAATCTATCAAAACTAAGCCTTTGGGTCAATTTCAACACGGTACTTCCACGACATGACAACCTTAACCCTTGACGTTTATCTCAGTCCCAACATATGGTCTA